AAATACACTCTTGAACAAGAGAATGTAAACCATTGTCGTTAATGATTGAAAAAGGTCGAATATCAGTGCATACCGATTCAACCAGTAAATTCTTTATTTTATTTCTTTCACATTCTTTAAGTATAGCAGATTGTGGTGAATTTGAAGCATAGGAAGCAATCTTTGATTGCTTTAAAGATTGTGAAGATAAAGATGATAAATTTTTACATTTGTGCTTGTTCATATGACTTGTACTATTAGACTTAAAAGAATACGTAGCCAAACAATCTCGGCATGAAACAAAGTTACTAAATTTCTTCCTAACATTCCCATTTTGATCAATCGCAGCAGGAAACCCAAAACGCTTCCAGCATGCGGCAGTATGGGTTTTAGAAGAACTGACAATTGCTGAAGTTTTTTTTTAACGTGGTATGGATTTTGTCGCCTGTCATTTCAGTATCAAGGAATGAACTATTAAAATTGTCAGGAATAATTAACACGACGTCTGATGTATCATTTTCAACATCGGTCGAAGAAGATTTTGGTGTAGGCATATTATTCAAACAGAAATATGCATAAACTATAATTAAATAAATGAAATTTATTTTATCAAAATCTTTTAATGAATATAATTATATAAATATAAATAAATGAAATTTTAATTCAAGACGAACATTTAATTAATACAATTGTATAAATACCAATAAATGAAATTTTAATTCGTCAAAAATCTTTAATGAATATAATTATATAAATATAAATAAATGAAATTTTAATCTAACACGAACGCTCAATTAATACAATTGCATAAGCACAAATAGACAAAATTTTAATTCATCAGGAATGTTTAGTGAATTATATAAATATAGACAATGACGATTGACGATGTATACATCTGAAAATATATATTTTCTCAGTTGACCATTCTATTGAACATGTGTTTCTACCAATAGCTACTCGTGAAGATATTTTTAGAAAGATTAAAAGATGTCTTTAAAGTTCCGATTGTACTGAAACAATAGGGTATTGTTAAGCGGCGGTGCATCGCAAGATTTCGCGGTGCACCGCCACCGCCCCGCCGTTTTAAATTCCCGTCCCGCTGGCGGGACGGGACGGTGTGGCACCGCGACTCGTCCATCTCTGATCTGTAGCTATTGTAATTGTATGTGCCAGTAAAACTTGCATCTTGAATATGTCATCTGCCGTTTTTTCGTTGTTTGCTGTATAAGGTAAACATACTCGAAATTTTTGAACAGAAGAACTAAGTTGTTCATTCAAACTGTTGATTATTGAAATATTGTTAGTTGTAATAGCATTGCTTAATTCATTAAGTGTGTCTCTAAGTTCATTGAAAATAGATTTAGATTCACTTGATAATAAATCAATATCAGTTTGTTTGGCAGATGCATGAGTTAAAATATCTATAAGTTCTGTAATTTAATCGAAGATAATTGAAAATGGTTGAAGAGAGACTTCATTTACAATGAAGAATTGATGGAGAACTGTCAGAGTCTTTTTCGTGCTTATAATATCTTCGATAAGGGTAGTTTGATCCATAGATCGTATTTATCTACAATGAAAAGAAAGCTGATGTTCATATGTGTTAAAAGTTGTCTGAGTGTCAATGGACACTCTTTGAAGATTTTTCATTGTTAAAAAAGAATCGTTTCTTCTTTTTCAAGTTATATTTGGAAATAATTATTTTAGTTCTACCATTTTCGTCGCCATCACGTTTGACATAGACTCTATAAAACAAACAAATTCAAATATCCGTTTTTTGAAATTTTAAATGTTAAAACACATATCCATGTAAGCTTTTGTATCTTATTTCAAGCCAAAAATATATATTCTTTTAACTTACTTCAAAAAAAAACGCTGTGCTGGTGTCACCTCACTTATGAATCAAATAGAAATCAAAAGATATTGTTTTGCCGTCCTCTGCATGGAGTATAGAAAGAAAAGAATGAAGCATGAGAACCTTATTGCGTTTAATTTCTTTCTTTTTTTTTGATACGCGTAGAAAAGAAACGAAAGAAAACATAAGGAGTACCTCGCAAGAACGGACAGAAAAAGTAAAAATAAGAAGTAAAAACAGTAAAAATGTCAAAAAAGTTCTAGAAAGCAAACTATCTAAAAGACAGAACAGAACAAAGCATATGGATATGAATAAGACCAATATTCATAACATGCTATTCGATTTCTAACTTCTGAAATGGATTCGAAAGCTAGCTGAACATGATACACAATGGCTGTTAGTGACCTAAAACATCTTCATATGTAAATTACAGTGAAGCTCGATAGAATTTACCCCCTTTGTATTTTTTACTTTTAACCATTAAATTTTGATCTTTTTAAATAATGACTATATCGCAAGAAAGTACAGATTCTGCTGCATCACATGATATATATATCGTAATTAAAAAAGAGAAATTAAAAAGTAAAAAAAGCGTTACAAAAAAGACACCATTTTTTTTTACTACACGACATACTTTGTCTGAATTAAAATAAAGAGTAGCATTCATTTACGTGAAAGGTTGGTCATAAAATACATCAGTTCCATAGGTAATAGCACACTTTCTGTAGGCATTGATAATTTGGTCTCTTGACAATGAATAAAAGGTTCGAGAAAGTATCGATGGAAGATTGGATATTGTCAATGGATGCTGTATTCGGACAGTTTCTCTAAATGAATGCCAAATTGGATTATCCAATGGAGATATATATTTTGCGGATGCCGTTGGCATATAATGGACATTTATAACTGATTTAGATTTACCCATAATAAATGCTTGCATCATCTCTGCCAGATTATGTGCTCGACTTCTATCACATATCAAATACACATAATCAATATTCAATCGATTAATGGCTGGTGCCAAAGATTTAACAATCCATTCATGTATTACTTCTTTTCTTACACTTTGAATATCTTTAGCTTTACGATCCACAGGTGTTGAAGTCATACAAGCTATTGGTTTTGATCCATTTATTGCACCAATAAAATCAAAACGTTCAGCATAAGCTGATAGTTTATCAACAATAACAAATGATTGATGTCCAGGAGCAACAAGTGTTCGAAGAGGTGGCATTATACCATAGATGGCTATTTCATCGATAAATATTAATCGATCATTGCTAATCTGCTGTAAAAATTTTCGAAATTTTCCAATTTCAATCCAATGATTTTCATCAACTATAAATATAGAAGAATGATTAGATGGATTCGTAAACGGTGAGATAAAACAATGATATGTGTTGTATAGAAACCTGTATACTTACTATCACGAGTTGTTATTTCATGAGTTGTTCTGCTTGTTATTTCGCATTCTGTTCTGCCGTATCGTTTGATCGTTGCTAGGGCTACTTTTCAATTCAGTAAAACTTCAACATGGTTTTGTACCATTTTGTAATCAACCGGTTTATGCTGATTATTCATCGTTTCGACAAAATTCAATACATTACGTTCTACTTCTTCATTTGTTAGCGTACGTGGTCGACCAGTTCTTGGCTTTGCATTCAAGGATTGAACAGTACCATCCCATTGTTGATACCAACACATAATTAGATGATGACCACCTTTAATTTTAAAACGTTTGGCTAATAATTTAAAACCGGACCCGTAAATTCCAGGACGATATTCTTCAAGAACTTTTTGTTTGAAAGTACTGGTATATTTTTCATATTCATTGGCCATTTTACAAACAAACAGTGGAAATTAAACCAGATATGTTATATAGAGAAAATAAAAGTTTGTTTACTGGTTAGACATAACGGTCCCATATTTATACACGAGACTGGTTCCATATATATTTAAATAAAGAAAAAG